CAAAACACATCCATATTCGTTCATAATCTGATCATCTTTCCCGAATTCATCTCTATAAACTCCGATCTGATCATCTTCACAAATTCATCTTCATACGTTCTCAATCCTTTCATCCTCCATCCGCTACATCATTCAAAGGATCCTTGTGTTCTGATTTGTTCAACCATACGAAGTGACTCCCTGGGATGGAAATCCTCTCTAGGATCGTATCAAAATCCTTTGAAGAAACCATTTCCATCGAGTTCTCCTTTCATTCATCATCCGTTGATTGTTGATCTCCCTTTTAAGTGTCTGATCGTATTCACAATTTGTTCAGAGGCTGATCGTGGGCTAGATCTCTCACCAAGATCGTATTAGTTATTAATTTACCGAAAAGGAAACTTACTATAATCTTCTAATAAAAATTTACTTCAATTTTTGTTTTAATTAAACTATATTTTTCTTAAATTAGATTTTTTTCTCTTCGTTTGTTTTTATTCATTCCAATAATAATTAGATTATAAAGAAAGGGAGAATTACAGAAATAGACCATTTTTAAATCAAATTAAAGGAACACACCAAATCTTTTAAAATTAAAAAAATAAACCAAATAATAGATGAAATGTCGATAATGCCATATTTATAGTTAACAAAAAAATTTAACAATAAAATTAAAAATATCATCCTTCATATGGTGGTCTCACCACCGTAACTTTCTTTTTGCTAAAAATCTCACCACCGTAACTTCTAAACCTAATGGTTCCTCTAGTGGTTTCCTCTCATCTTCTGATATAGATAATCTGATCCCCACTTGATTTCTTAAGAACCTCAGCTTTAAGCCTCATTTTTTGTGTGCCGGTAGTCTACGAAACCATCTCTCCGTTTTCTTCCCGTTTCGTTTAACCATGCGATTGGTGCTACAACATCGTTTTTCATAGCCTTGTTTGCTTACCTGATGATTTTAAAGAGAGAGGCTTGGTTTGGTGATTTTAAAGAGAAGATGATGTAAGATTAGAAGCTGCCCTTAACATACCTGACGCATACCACCTTGTAGC